AGCCAATGCCAGATGGCAACCTAGCTCTTCCAGGGTGAAAAAAAGAACTGAAAGAACTAGGTAGGTCTCGGGTCTCTGTGGAAGGCCCTGATCCTGCAGGCAGTGGGAGTTTTGTATATGAAGGGCTTGTAAAGTCAAGTCCTTTGCATGCTTCAACCTAATACAATTAGCCTACCCTTTGATTTGAGCTGTTTACCATTACAAGTGTGGTCAGATGAACAAAACTTTTGAAATGGAGGCAAACGTCTTAATTCAAGTTTGATTATCTAATTAAGATGTAGAGCCGTATTTTAGACAGCCAGTAAAAGAAAGCTTGATTTTTTGGGTTTGCTTTCCATCGGAAAATGCTGGGTTGCCTTGGAAAATAGGATATTTTATTTGGGCACCTAATTTAAACTTTAAATCTGAGATTATTTTTTTCCCCCCGACTTCCAGGTGGGTTTGGCATGTAGGCCATGTATCTTATAGTGAAAATGCTCATTGTACAGAACGTGGAGACCAAATATGTTGAACTCTAATGTCTACCTCTGGTATTGGAGGTAACATACCATGCAAAATATTATTATTCTTATAAGAAGACCCAATTACAAGCAAGATTTAAAGAATCTTTAAAATCTTTTAAATGTATAAACTCAGTGGCAGAAGGTGTTTATCATTCTGAGAAATAATAAACATCAAAATAAAAATTGTGTTTACAGTGTAATAATTAGTTGCATTAGGATAATATGTTATACGATGGAAAAAATGTGCAAGTGCATATCTATGCCAACCTTGGTCCTTCTCTCAGAAAGGTCAGAGGATAAAAGTATTATGCCCTGTCAGGCAGCCAGCACCATTTTACAGCTGTTATTAGTTGCACTCAGCATAGAGGAAATGGGCTTTTGCCTTCAGCACACAAAATCGAAGCCTGAAACGAGTTGTGCAAACATTCAGATCGGATCTCTAACGTACTTGAAATCAATCTTGATTCAAGTCCAGGCTAGCTCTATGCACTTGCATCCGTTTGCTGGAATTTTGTTTGTCTGATGTTTTACAGCAGAGGTGGCTATGAATCTTTTTTTTTTTTTTTTTAACGCGTCTGAAGATTTGCAAACTTTCACAGGTTTTCATGACTAGCATTATAATGTGACTGGTGTTTTATACTTGTTTTTAGCTGATGCCATCAAGAGTTTGCAAATATCGCTTTGATTTTTCACAGCTGAGGTAAGACTCACTTTGGCTGATGTTCCAACATAATCCGATGGACAGAGACCTGCCTCCATGTATACCTGCACCGACAATGAATCTGAACCAGTCAGGTGGTCTGCATCCTTATTGTGTGCCTGCCAACCTGTGTATCTTCTCATGTTGTTTAATCTATCAACTGGTCACGTTTTGTCCAGCCTAGGATGTAGCAGTGATGTTGAAATGCTTTAGCACACGGCTGCTAATACGTTCTAGAAGCGTGATATAGGATGTATCAGTACTGCGAAATACTTAAGAAGTCTAAGCTTTAACTCAAATCGGTTAACCAAAGCTAACTAACTCAGGTTAAAACAGCAGCAAAGATAAAGTAATTTGAACTTCACACAAGAAGCTTGCTTTCAAGGCTGTATGAACATGCTGAGCAAAAAGGAGATCGAACTGCTGCAAAAGACATAAAGTAGAAAAGCTGCAGGAACTCTGACTAGTGGGTAACCAGTATTTCCTGATGGTTTATACTCTTTTTGCTTGTCTGTCTTAGTGGGTTTTCACAGGTGTTTATGTAAGTGTGTCCAAGCTACAGCTGCACCCCATTTGCTGTGTAGAGGTCCCCAGCAGCTGGCCCAAAATCCAAGTTGCATTGCCCTCAGGAAGATGCAAGCTACGCTCGGTTAAGACCACACTTCCTCGCACTGTAGCCTGTTAGTATAGATATTCTAATTTGTGCTAAGCTTCAAGCTAAGCAGTCTAGAAGTGAAATGAAGCTTGTCCTATGTAGAACATTAAAAGAGCTCAGCCAGGTTTGCTTTGCGTGCTTCTGTTGCATGGTAGCCTGAGATGGGGAGACCAAATTAAACCAATTATCAATAATATGCTGTTCAGCAAATGCTTCTGTTTCTGGCGGTGCTAGCAAAGTGGCAGGAGCAACTTCAAAGGCCGCAGACCCCGCAACAAAGCGCTGGCAGCGCCCGAACGGTGCAGCAAGCGGCCCCATGAAGGACAACTGGAGGGGGTGGGGAAGGCAGAGGCGAGAAGTGATTGTCTGTCTCCTGATAATGGGACCAATTTTCAGTGCAGCTATGCCAGCTGAGCTCCACGGAGGCACCCGGGAATCCAGCTCAATGGGCTTTAATTTCTCTGTGTGTGTATAGATTATATATGACAGGCACGATTCCACATGCCTTCCAAATCACAGCACTTGCTTAAACCCTAACGCATAGATAATGCAGATGTGAGATAATCAAAGCAACCTTTGTCATACTGAAAACTGAAACTCTTGAGGGCAGAGTTTAATCAATGTATTATTGGAACTAAAATTCCAGCCTTACTGTAGTGATTGTATTACTAGGTGCCATATTTAATTCATGAAGAAAACTACGAGCTTTAAAATTGAAATGAGACTCAAAATTTTCTCGTTGATGCAGAATGTAAAATTAATTTTCTGTTGGTCGCAGGCATCAAAGAAGTGGGTCAGAAAGAGCAAAAAATCTTTCTCGTCTGTTTCTGGATTCCTTTTATCAGATCCTTAAAAGTCTCAAAAATGTTACAAGAAAACACTGCAGAAAGGTAGCTGTAATTCATTTCACAAGTTGCATCTGAAGAAGGTTTTTCTTCTATTCCTTTAATAATGTATGTAAATGTCAAGGTGCTGTAGGCTGAAGAAAAATATCAGCATTATTTAACTATATAAGAAAATCATTACTTCCTTATGGTTTTGGTAATATTGCCTTCTTTTTGTTCTTTTTTTCAGATAGGTGAATTGCTAGGAGGTGGTAACATATCACTTCTGCATACATGTGTAAAGGCAGTAATCGTTACCCTTGTTCTGGAGCTTGTATGTTTTCCTACAGCTTTGGTGAGATTTGCTTTAATTAAAAAATAAAGAATCTGCTGATTCAAAAGAAAATATCACAGTGAAATGAATCTGGGTTATATTTGGCTAATAAGGAAACAGAGGACAGTGCCGGATGTGGAGGTGAGCAGGATGTTCCATTCCAGCTTTCCTTCCTCATTTAACATTTCTTTGGCTGCTCCGGCTAGAAACGATGCATGAGGGCAGGCACAGAGGTTTTTCATTACCTGCCCCTCTGACACAGTAGCACAGCAGCCACCCTACCTCCACCTTCCTTCCTGTAGGCTCCTTCTTTCCCACCCTGGGGATATTCTTTCTCCTGATGTCCTGTGTCTTCCCCCATGTATGGTTTTATAGATACGGTTTGCGAAGTCCCAGCAGAAGTTAGCTTGTATACTGGAGAGCTCTAACAGCACTTCAGGATGACAAATTATGCAGTGCCTTCCTGTAACCCAACAAACTCTAGTGCTTCCACACATAGCGGTTCGTATGTTTGTTTGTTCAGACTCTGGCTTTTTATCTGTAGAAAAGCAAAAGAATAACTGGACCTCATGTTGGCACGGAAGTGACATCCACACATGGTATTTTGAGCACCAACCTTTCACTGGCTTGTGAACCTGGACCTTGAACTCTGTGGTCACCAGTGTACAGACTTAAGTAAACGTGCTTGAATTTGTAGAAGTGGCTGGGGACAGTTACATTTATATTATATTTAAGGGTAGAGTTCAAACTCTTCTTATACCTGAGCTGCTTTGCTTGGCAATCTAGTTGGTTTGTCCTGAAATGTAAATTGATCTTTAAGGAGTATGTATGAATGGTGAGCTTGGAGTCAGGTGCAGGTATGACCCGCTGACTGATGTGACAGTAGTTCCTCGTACCTATGGTGGCGGTAGCATTTCCATCCTTGAAAGTAGCATGTATGGAGGGATACATGCATTTTAATTCTGAAGGGACAAATCAACAGTGTAAACCACAGATTTAAACAAACCACCAGGCTGTACTCTGTCCTGGTAACCTCTGGTTGTTGCTGCACGATGCTGCTGCTTCCTTTGCACTTCAACTTTTGTGCTGATTTAGTTTTTAAACACACACAAGATAAGTGTGTTACTACACATACTATGTTCCTTCTAAATGAACCCTACCTTTTTGTTTTAGAAACACATTTAAAACATAGAGCAATTAAGGTGACTTCAGTGAGGTTAGCAAGGAGAGTCAAACGTGAGTGTTGGGAATGAACAAAGATCCTCGCTCTTACAGTTTTATTACAACTTTTCTGGTGTCTCTCTTTTTTGTTTATTTGTTTTGGTCCAAGTTCCTGCTGGGGCATCAAGTGAACGCCCTTCAAAAGAAAGTTTCTTAACTTCTTAAGAGAGAAGGAAAACTTGAAAACATGAACCCTGCACGTTCTGTAACCACAAAGCAAATAAAAAGATTCACAATTCAGATTTCAGTTTCACAACTTTTAGTGCAATAATACAAGTGCAACATTTTTTGAAGGGCTGATTTGTTTATTAAGTTAGTTACTAAACTGCAGGCAATATGGTTTCCACTCATTATTCTTGCTTAAACTCAGGGCCAGGTGAATAGTTTTCTCTTGAAATCATAGAAACTCCATGTTTAAAAAAAAAAGAAAAAAACTAATAATTCAGGAGTATTTAACTAATATTCCTTTGATTGTGGTAAAGATAAAGAAATAATAAAATAAATACACTCATACTTGGTGTTTGTCCAGTTAAAAGGGGGTGGTGGTGGTGGTGAATACCAGATTAGTCATTCCTAACTTGGACAAACCCTGATTATGTTTATATTAATAATTTTTCCATGGTAACCAACATGGATTATTGAGTTGAGACCATTTTCCTGGGCTCCATGTGTTCCTATTGACCCTTAGAAGAGCTATTTTGGTGTTAAATGCTGCCAGGCAGTGAGTAACCATTTTTCCACTTTACTGAAGGAGTATGCAGCTTTACTTCTTCCTTGCGTCAGCTATGGCCTTAATCTTAAATTCATCTTCAGTGAACTGGTTCAACTCATTAAACCACTTGGAAACTATTCTCTTCTCTAAAAAAAAAAAAAAAAAAAGAAAGAAAAAAAGTTTTCCTTTGTGACTTTTATCCTGGAGCTGATCTTGCTCAGGGTTTAAAGAGCACAAGTATTGGTGTAAGACAAACAGAATGGAAGAGGGGAGCAAGGAAAGAGGTGAAAGAGGGAGAGTGACCTCTTGTTTTCCATGGCAGTGAGTTGGTAGTTAAGCTCAACCCAGACATCTGTAAAACTTCATCATGAGTTTTGACATGGTTTCTTGATGTAAGGTTATTATATCCACAGCAATTGGAGTAGAGATAAGGCTGCTAGCCTGGTTTTACAATAGTGAAAATGGACGCAGAACTCAACCCTCAGATTAACATTTCCTGTAACTCTTAACACTCTTTTTTATAGTGGTACTTTAGTTCTCTTTTGTTTCAAGTATTTAGCTTGTAATCATACCAGTGTTGCAGTAGCAAAGTGTTTTAACTTTGGAGCCAGGGACTTGAGGAGAGTAACATTTCTACTTAATTATAAGGCAAGTGGCATTCGGTCAAACATTTTAGGTTATCATTATCCTAATCTGAAGCTTTTAAAGAAGAAAAGTAAACAAAAATTTTGTTTGGTTCAATGATATATATAACTTGTTAAGGACAGCTGGCGCCTTACAGAGTGCCCTGATGATCCAACCTGGAGCCACGTGAAGCGAGGGACTTCAGGGGTGTTTGACGTCAGCCATGAGGGCACAGGACATTTTTGTTAAAAAATAGAACTGATGTTAAAGGCAAACGGGCATCTTCCTTCTGAGAGTGAGGGGAATTTTGGTTCGTTAAATTACCGTCTTTTTGGCTCTTGTTTAAAGGGCACCTAACCTTTCTTTTGGAAATGAGCTACTGTTGGAGGGAACAGTTGATGTGTGCTTGCCTGATGCGATTGCTGTAACAGAGGTGTAAAACAAAGGCTGAGTTTGTCTGTCCTGGCACTCTCTCGTCATGGCTGGTGGCTTCAGATGGTCTCCAACCAGCCGTGGAGCCCTGTGGCTGACCACTGCATGGGTGTCATACCCTCTATGCTGGACCTGGGAGTGCTCAATCCACCCTAGGATGTATATCGCCACAGCACATCGGGCCAGTCCCACTACTGCTTTGGGCAAACAAGAACCCTTTTTACCTTCTTGACCCAGGCACTTAGGCAGGGTGAAGCTTTTCTCTCTAGCGTGGTGGGCTTGGGGATCCTGCCCCAGGTAAGCTGTGAATTTTCTGAAGCCCAGAGTCCGCAGTTGTATGGCAGAGTCCCTGAAGTACTGGAGGGTTGGTGGTTATGGTAGCCGTTATTGCTACTCTCAGTTCAGTACTATAAAGACATAGTCTTGAATTTTGGAGTTTCTGTGCTTCAGAAAATAAGTTTTCATCATTAGCACTTCAAACATTATTCACTGAGCCATATTGCATAGGAGGAAGGAGAAAATGTCTTAGAAAGCGTTTCCAAGTGCCAGGAAGTAAACAGTTATTGCTGGGGCATCTGCTTGGAAAGCTGGCATGCTCCAAAATGATTACAGATTAAATTCTATTTCAGATAAAGCAAGAACTGGTATTGGTTTGATGCTTGGTTTCAACTGACTCCTCTTCTGAGAGAACTGATGCTGCTTCGCTTGGCTACGCTAAGATCTGTTTGCGATTTTAATACACATTTTCTTTTGAAGATGTGTAATTAAAAAACAAGTAATACAGAGTACATGTTTTGGAACAGAAGTGTCTGTGCCCTGAACTGTAGATCAATGGTGGTCTAAAAGAGTGGTAGATCATAACACACAGAGAGCCGACGCATCCCATGGTGCTGTTTCTCCCTGTTTCAAGCCGCTAAATCCCATTAAAAGGCAAGCTAGAAACAAATTTTATAGGTTTTCAGTACTTTCGCTCTGTGAATGCAATTGCTGTGAGTGACACAAAAATTGCATAAAATCATGAGTAAAGAAGGAAGCGTCGCTGTGCTTGGGAGGGTGTTGGTCCACCAAGCGCTCCCCCTCCTTTGTAGCAAGTGGTTCAGAGACTCCAGAGAGCCTCTGAAGGCTTTCCAGAACCCTCGCTCTGAAGCATTTATTGTTGGCCAGCTGGGTCCTCACAGGGGAGACCTTGGATACCAAGATGAAAATTGTCATGTGGGAAAAAAGCCAAATCTTAATCAGATCAATTAGTTATGCTACAGTTGCTTGCTTACAGTCCTTTTCCCAGTTAGGCTCCTTCTTTACTAGCTGTTATAAACTCAAAGGAGTTTTGTTGGTAATTTTAAGGGAAATGGCTTTTATGCCATTTTGCTTTACGCTTTTTTCACTATACTGCAGACATGATGTCTTTAATATCTACACTCTTACAGAATCCTTCAACCCCTAGTATCCTAAACTATATGAGTCCTTCCACCTGATTCTTCCAGGTACCTCGGCTTGTTCTGGAGTTCTGCTTACAGTTTTTGCCGAGTTTAGCTGTGTAGTTGAGAAGGTTACCACCCTCAGAAGTCCAGTCTTTTCCAGTGCTGGAAGTTATCACCCGCACAGGAACAGCAGTATTTTAACTTAAACTACAGAAATCAAAGTATGCTGATGCACAGGGTTGCAATCACAAAATGGGCTTGCAACCCCATGTTTGCTGGTCCACCACACCAGGAAAGGAGTAACTTCCAGAATAAGGGCAAAAGGGCAAAGCAGAAGGCCGAGGACAGCAAAATTTCCAAAGGTCATAGTTAACCAAGAGGGAGTAAGAGCCCTTTGCTACTTCCTAAATTGCTTTCACAGGCGACTACTAGACTATAACGTTCTTTCTGGATGGAACTCTGTCTTGTTCTAGTTGTTCTTTCCTTTTCTGTGGTGGGCATGTTCTCTTTCTTTTTCCTTCACCTTACTCTTCACACCTTCTTCTTTCAGTTGCTTTTCTCTTTTTCTGTTTTGTTGAGATGTTTTCTTTTCAAATTGCTCTTCCTGCCGGCAAAGAGAGAAATCAATATAAATGTATGTAAAATAAAGAACATGTCACTGCCTGGATTCTGGAGGCTGGAAAAAAGTGCTTTCTAGTGACTACTTCCTACGGGTGTTCTAGTACCTATTAGTTGTGGAGCACAGACTTAATAGCTGATATGGCAAAGGTTGCAGGGTGTATTTAGTCCTCTGTGAGAATTTGTTTATAAACATCTGCCAAAATCAAAAGATGGTGAACATATAAATACCTGAAAAATATCTTACAGCCATAATTTTGTTTCTTTCTGATGATGGAGCACCTGGCTTTACAACCTTACTATTTTTAATATAATTCTTTGGTTTGTAATGATACTTCCACAGTAATTAAAGCTGCCTAATATTTTCCATTGTAGAAGCCCCTCTTTTAGTTGCTTATTTCTTTGTCAAGTCTTAACTGTTTGGGTTGAAGCTTTCCATAGTTATTTTCTGCCTCAGACTGAATAGTTTTGGCAATCTTTATTCAAAATTGTATAACTGTATTCAAGAATGGTCTCTGGATGGAAGTTGGTGAGAGGTTCTGTCTCTTATTTACAATGCCACAATTTTTTATTGCTTTTTCTTTTGAGTCCTCTGGAATTGGAACTGGGACCAAAGCTTTGGCAAAAGGATAGTCCTGGGATAAAAGACATACTACTTACTGTCCTCTGAATACTTGGATAGATCTGGATGAGTTACAGCTTTGAAAATCTTTTTACGTTATATTCAGAAACTACAGGCTTCAAAAAGATTTATTTCAGTGGCCTCAGGCTAGAGGTAATGGGTAAGGTAGTGAATATAGGGGCTGAGCCACACCCTTATATATTGAATCAGACTCACGTGACAGAGGACATACTTCCCAAATAAAGCCACATGGCCCTGGAGGCCGAGCAGTCCAAGGTGATAGGGAGGATGGGCTGATGCCAACTCCCTGCCTGGTGGGCACTGCTGTGGCTTCCCTCTGGTTTGTCTGGGAGGAAAGTTAGCAGGCTCAAAGCCAGGGAGTTTGGACGTGGAAAGATTAAAGACAATCAATCTTCTTTCTCTGGGAAATCTTGCTAATACCTCATAGAGCTATTTTGTTGCTGTTGTTTTCTTTACCTCTCTTACTAATGAAAATAAGAAGCTGGTTACTTTGCACAAAATGGCCAGTGTAGGTTTTGGAGCCCTCTATGCATATGCCCACTTGGTCACCTTAAATGTTGCTGCAGTCTTTGGCTCTTTCTCTCAGGGAACTGGTAAGCCATTGCTTCTTTTTTTTTTTTTTATTTTTTTTAAATTATTTTCAGGTTTATTTCTGAGAGCACCATCTCTCTGTGGTGGACAGTCTGACTCTAGAAACTCCAGCACTTACAAATCACCTAATAAAGGCTAAAGAGCACTCTGGGATTCATTTGATAAGAATGGCTGTATAAATGAAAGGCTGTTAATTGCGTGGCTGGCTGCCACGTGCAGTTAATCCCCAGCGCAAAAGCGCAGCGAAATGCACTCTATGGGCAGTTCCAGTCTAGAAATAACCGGGAAGGAAAGAACAGAAGCTCAGGGCTACCTTTCGGCTCTGTGATTTACGCCGCCCACGAGGATATCTCGCAATGTTGGCCATGTATTTTTCAGCTCGTTGCCAATCCTCATGCCATCGCTGAACTTGATACCGAGGCTGGGACTTTGTAATTCTATCCAGAATGGCACGGTTCTCCTGGTTCACTCTCCGCAGCTCCTGCTTTCGTTTTTCTCCATTTAAACTAGAGAGGAAAACCGTATAAGCAGAATCAAACTTCTTCACACTCGTTCGTGTTCCCATGCCTGGGAACCCAGAACGTGAAATATCTGTCCAATCTTGTGTCAGGGGAAAATTCACCTAAGGTTTTATACCTCTCCTATAGGGACTTGCTTCTCCTTGATCTGCATTAACCAACCCTTGCAACCCAATGCTTTTGTCCTTCTTAAGAGGATAGTCTTTGTTCGGTATCTTCCAAATGCAGCCCTGCCTATCTAGAGGTTTGGTACATTTTACAGGAGGAAAAATGCTAGTTTTATCTTGGATTAATGCCAGCCCTCCAGTCTTGGAACTGCTGTAGTGCAGTACTGTAGGTGAGGGCATGGCTGGTGCCTGAGACGCTTAACAATCAATTTCAGTTACTTTGGTTTATATGTTTCTTTTGTGTACAAACCTCATGAACCAAGTTGGGAAGCACGAAGATAACGGAGATAAGCGTACTGCCTCAAATGCCTGGGAAACTTTCTGTGATTTCTTAGACTGTAATTTCCAAGGCAGCTGAGCTGATCTCGTACCAGTCTCCTGCCACCAAAAAAGGAAGGACTTGCTCTTTTCCTTTCCCTGCTCATCTCGCCGCTGCTCCCAGCTGTGTGGCCTTCTCCACCCCTTGCACCAGCCCTGTAATTCATCACTTTGCAGGAAGTGGCAGAAAACCTATCCAGATTGGTTTGGTTTGCTTGGGTTAGTTTGCTGCTGCTGTCTCAAGCTTAATTAGCTGATGGAGAGGTTTGACAAAAACCAGAGTTGATCCAAAGAAAACAACAAGGGTTTGCCACTGGAATCGGGAAGGGAGAGAGGGAACGAAAAAGGGGGAGGATGCTCTGCTCCTTCCGTATCTTGTGGGATCACAGCTTCAGCAGCGGAGTTAGCTGATGCTTGTCGATGCCTGCGCTGATCTGGGTGTTGTTCACTACTGATGAGCCGCAAGTGCTGTGGTGTGCATTTGCACGATGTGGACACAACCAACTCTGTTTCAGATAATTTCTGTCTTCCCAAGGAACTGTGCAAATGTCAGGATCATAGAATCATAGAATCATAGAATCATAGAAT